AAAAAAAAAAAGGAAGTAATGAAACTGAAATCAACCCACTCTAGAACTGGAGGCTACTGCTCAGTTTGACTTTTGACCTGCATGCTTATTTGCAGATGTCTCTCAACTAAACAAAATCCCATTACACAGCATGCAAAGGGTGATGCAAAAATAGTTTATTATGATATAGTTTATGTAAAGTTAGGTAATATTTACAAAATAAAAATGATCAGCTACATCCAGGGAATCTAGCATGTCACACAAAGGAATAAATATTCTGACAAAGTAACACTTCAATTGTAGTGAATAGTTGATCACAAACTTTGTAAAAAAAAAAAAAAAAAAGGCCTCAAAAGTCCCCCCCCAAAAAAAGAGAGCAGCAGCTCAGCTAATCAGGCTTTCTTGAGACACTGGCCTGACAGTGGATGGCTCACCCGACTCCAGGCCTCTACTTCTCAGAGCCGAGCGCTGCACTGGAACCTGGGGAGGCGGTACTCATTCAGCCCTTTCTTCTGCACATGGCTTTTACTCTGTTAAGCATTACCATTTAGCATCAGGACAGAAATGAAATGCCAGTTGGAATTACACGAGCTGCTTCTTTTTATCATGTGACAGAACGTTTATCAGAACTGCTGGAATCACAAGCTGCGGCAGAGGTGACTGAAGCATTTCCACTCCGTTCACATACAGTGCCCCAGCTTGGCACAGTATGTTTTGTCTTTGATAATAAATTGAGACATTGACCCTGACAGAAGGGCACAGTTTTGTGAGAAAAATCATTAAGAATTGTAATTACTGAGGAGCCACTTGGATGCTTTCTACCTTTTATAAATATCACCCTAGGAAAACCACATGAAGTAATTCTTACACTTAACTGGTTTTGAATCCTAACAGTATGTCAGTAGATAAGTTGTTAATACTAAAAGTAAATCCTAAAATCCTTTAAAATCCATTTTAATTGAAGCTTGTGATATAAACATAACACAGTAGTGAACTGAGTGTTCTTCACAATCTATTCCTAGCTGTCTATAAAACTAAGTATGTGACACCACTAACTTCTCAAGGGGGGTGGGGGGCGGGGAGTGACGGGCGTGACTGTGTGGCTGCGCCTCTGAAACACCCTTTCCTCAGGTGACCAAGCTGTGCCTGGGGAAGGCCCCCACTGAGGCCGTGCCCGAGGAACATGCCGTGTCCACCTCTTGGGACTTGGGCATCCTCCCAGGCCATCCTACAGTACTGGAGTCTCCAATTCTTAAGTATTCTGTGACTCAGTGTTTCCTTACCAATCTGACAAAAATACGTGT